GGTGGGCTGGGGGGAGAGGGAGGGGGGCGAGAGTGGGAGAACAGGGGAATCTGTGGCTATTATGTTGAACTGAATGGTGTTGTAAAATAAAAAAAAAAATAAGAAGCAAGATGTTATAGGCTGGTGAAACAAAGGACATGTGGCAATACACAGATTAATAAATATGGATTAATTTAAATGTAAGATCTAGTTAGTAAAAAGCTTGAGCTATTGCCTGAGCATTTTTTAAATAAAAGAAGCCTCTGAGTGGTAATTTTAGGACTGGCACGTGGGAGAGAAATATCCATTTACATATGGCACCCTCTGTGGGTCTCACAGTGTGAGAGGTCTTAAAAAGTCTTCTAGACACACAAAAACAGAGCCAAAACCAGCATTATCATCCATGCTTCTCATGTGGGGCACTATATAGAGACACATCCCCTGGGTGTGACATGTGGGCTTGAGCTGCAGCATGGCAAGTTATCACATTCTCACAGAGGATGAGGTACAGAGAGGCAACTCCCAGCCACATGGTAGGTGGCAAATTAAGATTTTTTGCTTATAAATACAGAAAGTGTTAGAGATACACAGTAAGGAGAAATTTAGACATAAAGTCCTCTAAGTGGATCGCACCATGTTTGAAAAATGTATGTAGGCTTGGGAGAGGAGGAGAAAGAATAGAAACAGTCATAGATGTAAAATGTTTTAAAATTAATTAAGTAAAATCCCTAAAGATGAATACAAATAATAAAAATTATGCTAAGCCATATACAGATAAAAATACACATATAGTCTAGATTCTATATTATGCCGTATGTTGTGTTTAGATTGTTTGACTGTTTATGTGTGGATCATAACATCTGAGAGACATTTGATTGTGAAAGCTATTAAATTAAACCAATCTATATAATTTAAAATTATCTTGATTTCAAAATTTAAGTCAAATGTTATGTTAATTGGGGGAGAGTATTTGCTTCTGTTTCCACAGAAAATAAGAGCCAATGGATTCATCCTGAGTCTACGAAAATCAGGTTTGAACAAGAAAGATCCCCTAAATTCCTGACTACAGAGATGGGAAAACTAACCTAAAGTAAATACAAGAAAAATGGAGTATATTTTACCTGCTCCAACATAAAACAAAAAATTATTTTTTGCTAGTTTGTGTATAATTCACAGTTTATATTTTTAATAAAGGAGATATATATGTCCTTTATTATATATATATATATATATATATATATATATATATATATACATACATACACCTTTACAAGGTTACATATTTTCAGACCAAGGGGACAAAACACCAGTAAAATGCTGAGGGTGGTCCAACATCCAAAATAGTTTTAATATTGATAGCTGTAGTGATCTAGCCTCACAAAATATTCAAGCCAAAACTTAGCAATGATCCCAATTTTCTCCGAGTTTTGGACAGTTTACCAGCACCCACCAAACAGCAGGAAGTAGTCTAGAAATCTAGACCTACAGTCCCAAAATATTGGTTATAAATGTTTGTTTTCATTTAAGATGGGTTGGTTACAAATTGAATTTGGTCATAATCTCTTTCTAAAATAAGAAAGGGGATATGATATAGAAATGATAGAAAATGGTTACATTATTATGATGGGGAAAAAGTGTAAATAATGGAATAATTAATCTCCGTAAACAATTGTTAAACTCTAAATATTTTATATTGGAATGAATTTTACTTTATTTATACATATTTAAAGTTCTTTTTGTTATAATGTATGTATACTACTACTATTGCTTAAGGTAACTTTGGTGCAACTCAATAATAAATGTATAATTAAGCAATACAGATCAGTAGTCATCTATAATAGTCAAATTTATAGTCTTGTTAGTTAGATGTTCTAGGTATACAAACATGTATTTAAATAGATAGGTAATCTTCAAAACATTGAAAGAACAACAATATATGACATTTTAAATGTTTTAATAATTAAAGCTTTTCATGAAAGTGAGATATGTCTGTCCTGGCAGCACTAATCTACTTCAGAATAGATGGTGAACATCAAAGAAACTGTATGGAACTTTTTTTTTCATTTTTCTTTTTAATGACTAAAGCTAGCAATGTGGGCAAAGCAACGGCCTTTGCTTCCATTGCTGACAGTCACTGTAAAAACTAGATCAGGAGAATGCAACAAGTGGTTA